TTGAGCTGTTGTTCAGCATCTTAGCTGTGGAGGGCAGTGTCACTGGCCCTCATATGTGGGATCCGAACCGAGGCCCTCTGGCATCCCAAGCCAGCTCTTAACCAACGCGCCACTTGGCCGGTCCCAGGATTTAGGTAGTTTTAAAACCAGTCTTTTTCAGCATTTAAGCTTGAGGCACCCATCTACAATACTACCGATTGATCACCAAGAGATTTCCAGTCTAGCCTGGACTGCATTTCTGAGGTGGTACTTGTAATCTGCAAGAACGTTTTTTTTTTACTGGTCACATGGTTGTAGTTATGGCAAGAACTTCTTATTCTTAGGGTTTTCTTTTTGTTTTTCTTAATCCTCAGGGTAATGGGGAAAATAGTCATCATTTATCATGTGGGCCCAATATACCACATTTATTGGTTTTTTAAATATTTTTAAGTCATTTCATTGTGTTGTCAGAAAAGTCACGGCGCAGTTTTGCAACAAAAAACGTAGAAAAAATATGTCATTGACTTTTCCGGCAACCCAATACATAATTTTACAGAAGTAGAAATAAAAGGATGGTGATAGCCAACATTATTAGATATCTTAGTAAGCATTTAAACATAGCACATACAACTTTTTATTACATATTTTCCTGGTTTTGATAATATATATACCTAAAATGAGTAAAGTTCTCTAAATATTACTGCTTATCAGCTATCGATGCAAAAACCAAACATATCTACCTTATAAATACTGATATTAAATTTAAAATACATCTCTAATAAGTTCTAGTTTATCATTTCTTCTGGTTCATTTTACTCTTAATTAAATTACACTGAATTATCAGAGTGCAATACTTTTAAGAATATTTGGATCTTTTGGTGGCTTCTAATTTTACTGAACAAACATAGTCATCTTGGTGCTATAATTACACCATTTTCATATTTAACCAATTGAATTGACTAATCCATTGAATTTTTTGCATTTCTTCATCATGTTGTTTTTTTCTAGTAATTTTTGTATAACATCTGCCTTTGACATTTGGCCACTTAGGAACTGTATCAAGTACATTTGGTATGCAGATATAAAAGATGAAAGAATACTATTAATGTGTCCTTTTAGAAAAACAGAATGGTCCTTGGTGCAGGATTTTGTATAATGAAGTCCCAGTTGAATGATTAACTGGGTGAGAATACTAACTTTCCTTTTACTCCTTCAGAGTATATTGTTTGGGCTATTCATCTAGGATGTCTTCACCTGAAGACTTCATAGTCTGAGATTCCACTTATAATTTCATGTTGATCACTGGAATCTAGAGTGATGTTGTCTGTCTCTTTGCATCACTCTTGATTCCTCTAACAACTGTGAAAGTCCTTCCTCTATACATTTTCTTCTCTTTGCAATTATGGGTGAAAAATAAAAATTCTAAAATCCTTAATTGTCCAACAATAGCCAAAAGCAGACTATACAAGAATGGTGTGTCCAGTCTTTTATTTTCTTGGAACACTATGCAGTAAAGAAACTAGAGGATGATGCAATAGTAATGATATATTTTACTATTGTCTCCTTACAGGTGATATCATTATTCTTCTGTTTTGTTTAGATTGTTTGTTTTTTTTTTCAAAGTATAGTTGGCAATAATTGATGAATGATGATGAAATAGCAAAGTGTTTCAAGATAATAGGAAAAATACGATCCCTAAATTCCACCTTACATTTATAAAAGGGCACACCGGATGCATATACCAATTGCAAAATAAAGTGAGTTTTAGTGTTTTTTAAAAAAGTAAAATTTCTTGTTTTATTTTGGAAGATCTATGAGAAAGAATAAAAGTCATGAAATAGATTTACTCAAAAGAAATGCAAAAGTTAAAATTGAGTCCACTGTAACCTAATTGTATATAGGCCTATCTTTTCTTAGGGCTTTTTTCCTAATTATGGTGTACAATAAAATTGATCATGTGGCTTTGGCTTATTCATTTACAGTTTTGATATTCCCACCATTTCCAAGATCACTGAGATCATCTTGATAGAAGCTTCAGGCTTTCCAAAACTATTTGCCTATCAATAATAGTTTGCATTTATCTCACAGATGGCTGTTAACATGTATTGGTGGTTTTCTTTGTCCACCTCCATAGGGGCGGGTAACCTTAGTTCATAAAACCTAGATTTTTGTGGGGTACTTCCTAGACATTTCTTCTCAGGCCTCCCCCCCACACACACACACACACACACACTCGAATTTCCCTTGTGTTGAAAATATACCAAAAAAGCTGCTGCCATAAATAGTCCCTAATAGAAACTTTCCTAATGGATTATGATAAACATTTTCTGATAATTATAGATACAGAGCATATACAATTTTTTTTAGATAGAAGGTTTTGTGAAATACTTAACATATTCTGCTAGATGGACTAATGTGTATTTTTTTGTTCAGCTAAACTTCTAGTACATTTGACCTAGGTTCCTCAGCAAGGGATCTAAGTGTAATAGCCTCGAAGGAATTTTAAAATTGGGGTTATCACTTTCTGAAAACAATTCTTGACTTCAACATCTTATAGATATCAAATTTAAAATACATCCCTAGTAAGTTCTTGCTTATCCTTCTGATACTTGAATCATCAAAACACAATGCTTGAAATGAACAATGTTAACAAACTGAAAGACCTGTTTTGTACTAATGTAAAACTGTTTTGTAAGAAGCATTTCTTTAAAATAATATTCATGCTTAGTAAAGCTTCGTGAATTTGAATTCAATTTTCAAAGAGCCAATTTGCCCCCCAAAAACGGCTGTTTCATTTTTCAGTAGTAAAATTTAAGCCTACATAACTGAAACTACATTTAGCACACCAGTTACAATTCAATAACATTTTTAATTATTGAGTTTAATGGGACTTGGTATTTATAATAAATCGTTATTTACAACGTTGAAATCTGTTGGGATGAATGGATGAGGGCTTTGTTTTTTCTCTCCAGGTGTATTCAAGAGCAAATGACCAGGAACCTTGTGGATGGTGGTTGGCTAAAGTTCGAATGATGAAAGGAGAAGTAAGTGATGTTAACACTTGGTTTGTGAATAGTTTCCAAGGAAATACCTCAACTCTTGGTTTCTGTAAATGTTACTCCAATTTTGTTTTGTTTCTAAAAGTCTACTTCAGAAATAGTTGATCACACATTTCAAAAATTCATCACACTGTTAATTTCCATTTGTGTTCTGAATTTGCAAACACAGAAGCTGTTCTCCAGAGGTACACCCTGAGCATGTGAGGACCCCCAAGGGTTCATGCTCCTAAGAACCTATAATCTAGGCAAATCAGATTGATGTAACTAAGCTGTTCTTAGTATTTATGCCCCCCTCCCCTGGGAGGGGGGGGTAGGTGGGGGGGGTTACTGTTTAAGCTGAGCAAGGTAATCAGAACTTCATTTAAAGCTCATTATTTTTGTTCAGATGGGATTTTTAAAGTATTTTGTTGTCTTTTAGTTTTATGTCATTGAATATGCTGCTTGTGATGCCACTTACAATGAAATTGTCACATTTGAACGACTTCGGCCTGTCAATCAAAATAAAACCGTCAAAAAAAATACCTTCTTTAAATGCACAGTGGATGTCCCTGAAGATTTGAGAGAGGCGTGAGTAATTTTGTTTACTGTTGAATTGCTTTGTGAATTAAGAGGATTTTTTTTTTTTAAGATTTTTATTGGGGAATTGGGGGGATGGGAACAGTGCTGGGGATTTGGGGGGAGGGGAACAGACAAGTTGCTGTC